GGATACTCATCAAAATGTCTTCCTCTTGTTCCATCGAAGAAGGGAACCCGGGCTTTTCTCGAAAGAGAACCTTTGCTGAAAAAGCAAAATGTGATAAAGGTTCATTTGCGCAGCCGCGGTTGTAGTAAGGCTTTTCTTCTTCTGACGTTACACCATTTTCTTGAAGGGAAAGGAAGGGTGCGTAGCTCATCAAAGTTTCGTATCCTTCAAAACCTTTACGAAATTCTGAGCGAGCTTATTATTATGGCATGAATATTGTGCCCTTTTACGTTAGACTGTACTAGGTTCCTTGTAACGACATTCCTTCCTTCAACATCTCGCAACGGTATTCTTTTCGTGGCTATCTGGAAAAACAGTGTATAATAATGAAGCAAGTGGATCAGATGGAAATGAAAATGAACAGAAAACTAAGACAAACAAACAAGAAACAAGAAGTGCGGAAATAGGCAGTTTTACTGATTTGCTACATTCAGAAGAAGAAGTTATCTAGCCTTCACTTTGAAGTTTATATACAAAGTTATATTTATATGTAACACTTTTTCGCACTAGAGATTGTGCAAGACTGCAACCTCCTCACTGTTTACTCACACCATACTTTCCTTTTTACTTTCAGTTTTTTTCGCTGATAAAAGTAGCGGAATCTGGGTAAGTGCCCCAGATGACTCAGCATTCAAGATCAAATCAAAAGGAAAGGAAGGAAACCGAGAGGTCAGTTTTGAAAGATTACGTGAAGGAAATTATAACGAATATGAAGAGGAAGTGTAAGCGCTTCCGAAACGAATCCTCTTATTAATATGTTTATAGAGAACTCTTGTGAAACGCAATCGTATCTAACCAATCGTCCACAGCGTGGAGCGCTTCTTGAAAACGGTTCATCTATAAAATAGAGGCACAAGCATGAGCTTGTTCCTGCTCAGACGGAAGCTCATTTGTTTTTCGGAATCCTTTTTGAGCAACAAGTACAGAGGAACCTCTATGCTCTCCTTTCAAACATCTTATGCGCTGTGGCATTATGTATAGATCCTGTTGGAGTTGCGCGAATAGATTGAAAAGAAGGTCGAAGGTAGTTGCGAATAAATTATCACTAATTTCACCATAGAAGTGAGCGATGGCTTCTTAAAGAATCGGAGCTGTGTGGAGGTCTCAGGCGATTCAGATATGCTTCTGAACTCTCGTATGCACGTAGGAACAGGAATAGGGTACTTTGCAAGAAATCTCTGTATTTCTCAGCTTTCGCATTCCCTGTCCGTCCACAAACATGTCCAATTCTGAACATGATGGAATGACTTCCATTCATGGGCACATTCCTAAAGTTTAGGTTTTTGTCCGCAAAGTTTCAGCGTTTTGTGCAACCTACTTTTGAAGCATTCACATGCTTGATGTAAAACTCATTCTGCTTTGCTTCTCAGTAGCACATCCTGTAGAGAATTTCTTGCGCTATCTGATGGTATAATTGCCGTTTCACCATTGCTTGATAAACCCCCTTTTTCAAGATTTTTTTCAAGCATGTGAAAAGAGCACTTCGGACGATTTTTTTCTTCGGCTATAAATTGGGGCAATCCGCAATCGAAACAGCTCAACAAATTAACCAGGTGTGGGGGCCCAATAGTGCTAGAGAAAGCACTGTGCGGCAATGGCTCAACAAATTTCGTTCTGGAGATTTCAGCCTTGAAGATGAACCTCATAGCGGTCGACCTAAAGCAATATCTGACGAGGATTTTAGGGGGATTTTGGAGGCTGACCCATCCCAAACAGTTCGAGAGATAGCAAGACGACTAGCGTTGGCAAATTCCATTGTATTGCAGATTGGTCTGGAACGCATTGGGAAGGTGAAAAAACTCGACAATGGGTGCCCCACAATCGGAGTGACCGGCAGGAATCGGCACGTCTCGAGGTTCCTTCTGCATTGCTTTTGCGCAGCAGAAACGACCTGTTTTTGGGCCGAATTGTCACTTGTGATAAAAAGGAGATCATGTATGATAACAGGAGACGTTCCGGACAGTGGTTGGATTTCGACGAACCACCGAGGTAATTTTCAAAGCCGAACCCTCAAAAAAAAAGATTCTGGTCACGGCTTGGTGGTCATCGGCTGGTGTGATCCACTATAACTTTTTATCACCAGGCCAAACCATCACAGCAGAACCCTACTGTGAAGAAATCGACGAATTGTACCGAAAATTTTGTCAGATGCAGCCAACACTTATCAAAAGAAAGGGTCCGATTCCTTTGCATGACAACGCCCGCCCACACGTTTCACAAATCACTATCCATAAATTGAACGAATTGGGGGTTGAAGTTCTACCTCAACCGCCATATTCTTCAGACCTTTCGCCAACCGACTATCACCTTTTCTAACACATTTCAGAAGTTCCTTGCTGGAAATGCTTCTCAATCAGGAACGCCAGAGCAGAAAAGCTTAGTGGATTTCGTGATTTCGACCACCCAGTTTTTTACTTTGATGGGATTTCTCGACTGCTGTCACATTGGCAAAAGTGTGCTGATTCGAATGGTGCCTATTTCGATTAAATCCGATGAGTATTAAAAAAGTTACGATCGTTTAAAGTGAAACACCCAAAACGCTGAGAACTTTCCGGACAACCTAATAGTTTCATCTTGCACTTGAATAGTCCAATGTCAGTGCGGCGCGTGCGGCGCGGTCAGCCCGCAATCTCCGCCAGTGACGACATGCGCGACACAATCGTTTGAACCAGGAAGTGAGCATTACTCGTATTATTCCTGATCGTGTTACTCGTTCTATCTTTTTGTCGCATACGCGTTTCAACGAAAAGGCTGAGAAGGCTTCAAACAGTGTGCACGCTCCTTCTCGCCGACACGCCCCTATCAAGTGCAAGGATGACGACTGTAATAGGTAATATCTCATGAGTCTGTGCTATCCAGCATATGGCGCTCGATAGTCTCAGGAATTCACTGCTTGAAGATTGTTCTATTTGAACAGTGACGGTGCCTCGATCATGGTTGACTCGACTTATGGCTTGGAACGGCCATTCGTCGTCAATTTTTTTAACCCCACATTGTTTCTTGGCATTGGAGTGCGTGGTATATGGGAACTGTGGGATATCACATCTTACCAGAGAAGTCCGACAACTTACCATGAAACTTTATATGGAGACCTGGGCAGATCGTTAAAGTCTAAAAGGTTATTTATAAACTATACCTAGCGAACCGTAACCTGCCATTCCAAGGACACAACTTTGTGAGCAGGTACAAATTTTCTAATGGCTGACACGGTAGGGTGGGCAGACTTGCTGTGAACTCGCCACATTCACGCAATCACAATGGATCAACTGGTCACTAAACTTTTTTAGCAAAGTATATACGAAGAAAAAGTGCAAAATACTCCGACATCAGTGACCCGGGTTATGCAACATTAGTGTCTTCCGTAATGTATTTCGACCCTTCAATCCGTGAAGGCTGTAACATTTACTAATGACCCCGTTCGTTGATATGAAGAACAGCGCTAATAATTTGTATGAACCTTCCAAGGTCCTTATCTAATCCTTGTCAACTGTCATACCTTCTGTACCCGCCAGTAATGTTCGTCCCACACCCTATAGCACCTCTCGGATCCAAGGTCCCGTTGTTGCTGTAGCCTGCGCTACGAATTTGATGACCCCCCCTTCCGACGCCCCTTATCGGATCAGACTCTATCACTTTCTTATCGCCGCCAATAATGTTCTGCCCCACCCCTTCATCACCGTCTAGATCGAGGTCTCCACTATTACTGCATACCTGCACTACGAATTTGAATGATCCCTTCCAGGCCCCTTATCGAATCTTGCCGAACAGTCCGTGATCACCTTCTGTCACATGCCAGTAATGTCCCGCCCAATCACCTAATTAGCACATCAGGAGTCCAAGGCCCCCGTTGTGCTGTGGTCGCTACTACAAATTTGATGACGCCTCCCCTTCGAGGCCCTTATCGATCAACTGGCTTAGTCACCTGTGCCCGCCAATAATGTTCCCGTCCCACACCCTTCATCACCTCACGGATCTGAGGTCCCACTATTGCTGTAACCTGCGCTACGAATTTGATGACCCTCCCCTTCCGAGACCCTTATCGGATCTTATCAACTGTTATCACTTTCTGTCACCCGCCAATAATGTTCCCGTCCCACACCCTATATCACCTCTCGGATCCAAGGACCCACTGTTCCTGTGAGCCGCACTATGAATTTGGTAGTCCTTCCCTTCTAATGCCCATTATCAGATCTTATCAGCTGATATCACATCCTGTCACCTACCAATAATGTTTTCGTCCCACCCCCTATTTCACTGCTCGGAACCACCGTTCCACTGCTGCTGTGGCCCGCACTATGGACTGGGTGACCATCCCCTTTGAACGCCTCTTATCGAATCTTATCAACTGATATCACATCCTGTCACCCACCAATGGTGTTCCCGTCACACCCCTCCATCACTTCCTAGAATCAACGTTTTCTCTGCCACTGGGACAGGTGTTATGAATTTCGTGACACACACACACACACACACACACACACACTTAGCGGATTATATATAGTAGGATCTTATACTGGCCAAATGAAGAGCATCTGCCAGGCGAACACTGAAAATTTGGAATAGAACCATAATTGCTAGGGTTATTATGCAAAGAGGCGAGGGCTTATTTTTTTGCATATCTTCATATTCATTGGGAGATACGTATTAAATTCTTACTTAAAGGCAGTAGGCGTTTTTCCAGGAGCGAACGCAACGATAGAGGAATCAGAATCAATTAAACCGGTTGTGCTCATCACAAGACCGCCCTCCACTGGTGAATTCAGCAAGGGAGATCTCGTGTATGCCGATCCCAAAGAGCGACACCCTTTTCTATGTTCTAGAGGAGCTGCGTACTTTGAATCAGGTAAATTTAGCACATTTTTGGCGGTATGTGCTAAAAATAGTGTTTCAGGGATAGAACAGTTGGCTTCGAGTGCAAAACAACTTGGGTTCAGCACAACGATGGCAAAAGACAGAAATGGCGACGACAGGCCATTTCTTGTTTTCGATAACGTTTTTGCAGTGGAAGCAACGAAGTTTGGGGCAGATTACAAGAGCTTTGACCATATTTGCGATGTAAGACTCGCTTTCGCCCTGATTGCTCTTCTGTGGACCTCTGCAAGAAAAATAAGGATGAACCCCCGTTTATCCATGTGCCACGACATCTCCGTTTTAGAATTACACACTTCCCAACGATTCTGCCAGTATGATTGAATTTTAGTTTTCTTGCGCTGGTAGCTAGAGAAAACGCGCATTGATGACTTCGCAGTTCAGCGACTAAACTAGACTTGTGGTAGCTGCTGGCGTAACTTCATTGACCGCTACCTGGTCCCAACAAAAAATCTTTCAACACACTAGTGAAAAATGCATCTCTTGATAACACATCCCATGGTGAAGGGTCGTAATTGCAGGCTTAGTGGTGCCCTTGACAGCAATCTCGAGAATTAGTGCTCCATCCTAATAGTACTTCACTTCGTCCGGGTTCGCTTCAGTAAGTTGTGTTTCATTAGGTTCCAAGATGAAATGGTCTTCCGTTGACGGGAAGTTATTTCCTCGACAGCCGCAGCTATGTTCTGCACCGGGTACGCAATCACGGCTCATTCTCCTCTCAGATAACAGTAGGGAAACCTACGAAATGCCTTCCTCAGCATGGCAGTGGAACGTTCCGCGCTAACGGAAAGCAAAGTTGGACGAATCTTCCGTTGTCATCGACTCATCACCTGACACGACGTAAAATGTTGCGTTTCATTTCTTCGCATGTCCCTAAGCAGGATGTACTAAACTCAAGCACGGCTACAGCTTTGAAGGTGGTAAACGTTAATGGCAAGCCCAACCCGGACTCGTAAATACAAAATTCCGTTGACGTGATTAGCACCCTGATTACAATCTACAGCGGAAGTGCTAGAACACACAGACACTTTGTTCTTGTCAGGCCTCGAGGAATTATCCTGAGGACAGTAGCAACTGTCTCATACGACTGTGCCGTACGAGACAGTTGCTACGCAACATCGCTGGCTGTTCTGTACGCTGACGATTGCACC